CTGGAATGCCCATTAATTGATTACATTTACATTTCACATACATATACAAGTTTATTTGTTTTTCCAGACCATACACTGCCAGATAATGATACCCCAAATGTACAAACGAGACAACATAAGACCTCATTACCATCTGATGGAGCATCAGCTGTTGCTAGGATACAAAGTGATGTGGTTGTCAATGGAGAAAAGTTGAGTGAGAATGATGTCCAGAGACTCTGAAGGAACTGAGTGAACTGAAAATAAATAATCATAGTATAGTTACAAGAAAAGATGAGAAAGGAGCGACAAATCGGGATGCGATAAGTCCAGAAGCAATAAGTCCAGATGGGGCAGATAGTGATAAGAAAAAACGGGAGACGAGATGTGAAATTGATTGGTATGATGTGGATGATGAGAACATGTTGCTTTGTGAAGATGAACAATCTGTGGGTTTGATTACTGACAATAGAGACGCAAGCATGTTCAACGGAGACAACTGGCGACAATCAGGGAAGCATACACAGTCCTCGGCTGATGTGAAACTATACGATATATCTCCAGAGCGTGCAGAGGAAAGAATCTCTGCAATTAGACGAGAACAAAGAAAGGATAAGTCTACGGTGAAAAAAGTTCGTTTTCTGCATTCTGGGAGTTGCCTTGAACTTGAGGAAGGTGAAGTGGAGTGCTTTGAAATTAACAAGGACACACAGGATGAATCGGATGATGATGACGACGACGAAAACAATTCTTCGGGGGAAGTTGCTACTGGTGGACGAATAGGAATGAATATTAAAAATGATATTGTGGTTGATAGTAAGAAAACTGCAAATACGGATGCTTTTAAAAAAGACGAAACATCGTTAACCACGGTGAAGAAATACAGCACACCATCCATTGAGGATAGGATTTCCAAATTTAATGATGTACGAGTGACGAAAGGGAAAGATGATTCAGAAAATAAATTGAAGCATGTGCAAAAACTCCCACTTTTGACAATCAAAAATGGTAAAGGTGTCCAAGATACTAGTGACAATAATCTGTGGGATATAGTGGAGCGCTCACCAACTGTAAAAAACAATGCAAGTGTTAACATAGATAGTACAAGTAATGGAACAGAGGTTATCGAGAAAGACGAGCAGAATCTGGATAATGCAGAGCAAAGGATGTTAGAGGCTGCAGCTAAAGCTGATATACAGTACATGGTAAGGTGTTATGACTCTGTCTGTCTGTCTGTCTGTCTGTCTGTCTGTCTGTCTGTCTTAGTATTAGACTCACAGTCTTCACTATCACCATATATGGAAATACAATTAATAACACTACCAATATTGTTATGCATATTTTATAGGAATCATCGTTATCGTCTGACAGTACATTGTATAATATTCATGATGATCGAGGCAATACAATCCTACATATTGTGTGCAAGTTTGGACATATGGATTGTCTACAGTGGTTAGTGAAAAATACTTTATGCCGTGAATTGGTGTTGTTAGATAATGATGATGTACAGACACCAGCAATTGTTGCTGTTAAGGTGAGTTATAGCTCTTGTATCACAATTGGTGTTGTTAGATAATGATGACGTACAGACACCAGCAATTGTTGCTGTTAAGGTGAGTTATAGCTCTTGTATCACAATGGGTGTTGTTAGATAATGATGACATACAGACACCAGCAATTGTTGCTGTTAAGGTGAGTTATAGCTCTTGTGCCACAATGGGTGTTGATAGATAATGATGATGTACAGACACCAGCAATTGTTGCTGTTAAGGTGAGTTATAGCTCTTGTATCACAATGGGTGTTGTTAGATAATGATGACGTACAGACACCAGCAATTGTTGCTGTTAAGGTGAGTTATAGCTCTTGTATCACAATGGGTGTTGTTAGATAATGATGACGTACAGACACCAGCAATTGTTGCTGTTAAGGTGAGTTATAGCTCTTGTATCACAATGGGTGTTGTTAGATAATGATGACGTACAGACACCAGCAATTGTTGCATAGATTCTAGGGTACAGATTTACTGAGGTCATGCTAGCCTTGCAGACAATACTAGGCATTATTGTAGAAATCTTATAGACCTCATAAAGTGCATAGATTCTAGGTGAGTACAGATTTACTGAGGTCATGCTAGCCTTGCAGACAATACTAGGCATTATTGTAGAAGTCTTATAGACCTCATAAAGTGCATAGATTCTAGGTGAGTACAGATTTACTGAGGTCATGCCAGCCTTGAAGACAATACTAGGCATTATTGTAGGCATTAGAAAGTGTTTTCTAGTCTAGTACATATTTCACTGATAGAGATATTTCATCTGTGTTGACAGCACGGCAAACTTGAATGCCTGCAGTGGTTGGTACTGGAAACTGGAGTAAAGAAACAACTAACAAATGAAGTCAATCAACCAGTTCTTCTACATCAAGCTGCCAGGTTTGGACAAGAACAGTGTTTACGCTGGTTGCTAGGATACATGCAGATGCAGGACCTATCCATTGATGTCACTGATCCCCATGGTAACACTGCTGCTCATCTTGCTGCCAAATATGGGCATTTATCTTGTTTACAGGTATTTGTTATTGAATAATTATCTGGCAAAATTTTGTTTAGAAATCTGTGGGAACTGGTTTGTATCTGTGTTCCTGACAGGAATGGGATTATTGAAAATAATTCTTAAATAGCTGTTTTTTTTTTTGCTTTAATATTTAAACTTTTTTTAAAATGGTAAGAAGGTCTTGTATCTCAAAATGAATCATATGTTTCCTTGTAACCCAGACATTTGATGATTAATTTGATGATTATTTTGATGATTAATTACTTAAATTAATAAATCATTTTCAAAATAGCATACTGTAAAATATTTTATTTTCGCTTGGAATTAATTTTCGTTATTTTTCACTGAAAGAATGATTCAGTGAAAATAAAATCCAGCCAATATACCTTTTTTCCTATATTTTACATTCAACTTGACAAAAATCAGTGAAAATAAATCCCATACAAAACACTCGAAATGTCTTTTCAGCAAAAATTAATTCCAGCTAAAATAAAGTATTCTACACTATGTTCATTTCATGTTCTAATTCCTTGTTTTATGTTTATAGAGAATGACCAGCACTAGGACATCTATCATCAAAACAAATTTGAATGTTATTTCTCACATCTTCAGTTCAGTGATCATACTCTTGTAATAACCTGGAAAAAGTTTTTAAAAAAATAATTAAAATAAAAAATTAACAAAACACAATGAAGTTTTGAAAACTCTACCAGTTGTCAATTTTGCAGGGCAGCAGCTCAAATTTCACTACTTCAAGTTTATGCATAAATTAACACTCAGGCTAGTTATCTGTATGATTGTTGTAACACTGTTCAACCAAAAACATTGCCCCGACGGCGTTTTGAAAATAAACACATTGTCAATCATTTGTGAAAATTTCAAAACAAAAAGGTCAAAGCATCTAGGAGCTATTTTTTTTTAAGTTCTGGGATGTGCACTAAAAAGAAGCTGAGATAATTGCTAATTTGCATAACAATTCACTCAGTAAGAAGTTTGCGAATGCTAATAATTAAAATGGCTGTAACAGTTCCAAATTTAAATGTATTATCGTTAATTAAGTTAAATATAGTGCATGATATCGAGATCCCATCATCTTGCTAAGCATTCAAAATAGAGAATGTTTGCACCTGTTATCTATATTTTAAAATCGTTTTTTTGAGTATGTTCCACTATTCACAATTCTACAAAATTTCAACAGTGTATAGCCAAGACTGTTTGGATAATAAAAAGCCAAAAAAAATTTTCACTCCCAAGTGCCCAGGAACCTGCATCTCTACCTTAAAGGAGAACCTTCCAAGCCAAGGGATTGCACCAAAGAATCATGGGACACTATTGTTTATGTTATTTACAAAGTTAATCTATCTTTTGTTATCCATTGTAATTTTAATCTAGAAAGTAAATTTGGGATGAGATTAGGCTTAACTGGAAGTGCCCCTTTACCTATGTTAACCTGAAACTCTATATTTGTTTTTTGTTGTTGTCCTCATTAGCATAACTAGAGGTGTAGATGTGGTATTATTATACGTCTGTCACCGTAACGCCATAAGTTTCAGCATGCCATAATTTTGCGGTATTTTACAGGGTATTTTCATCCTACCATATTAGGAAATGCTAATTCCAAATATGGAATGATTACACACGTAAGTGTCTTTTAGTAATAAAAACAATCATGGCTGTCACCAAAGTTTGACCGGACTCCATACAAAGAAGTTCGCGGATTCTGTTCTAAACATTTTGAATTTCGGCGCTCCCATGGTGTATCCTTTCAAGGAAAAGATGTATAATAATAAGATTATTACGAAGATACCTCAAAGTATGCACTCATACAGTACTCCGCGCATCAACCTCATCGGTCTATACTCCTGCTGTACTGCCTTTGTGCATACTTTGAGGTATCCTCGTAATAACCTCATATTATTACATGGAATAAACAAACAAAAAATGATTTCAATGGATGTGTCGGGTATACTGTTAAACACATTGTAATAGCTGCATGTCATTTTCGTGAATTTGACTCCATGCATGAATTAACAAAATCTTATTGTGAGACTTTTTTTTTAAATAGTCAAAATTACGAATAGGTTATTTTCCGTTCAACAGTGAGATCTCACGAGTTGCATGAAAGACATGCGTCAGACATCTGCCACGAAAAATCAAACGATTTGATTTTGAACTCAAATTTCTTTATTTCATAGCTTTGACAGAGGAATATTGCGTTTGAATACCTTTACTTCATCAAAATTGATCATCATCAAATCTGGACAGCACATTATTAAGTATGGAAATATCGCCCAAAATATTTTCGTGTTTGTTGAATCCCACGCGATGTTTGATGCCACTACGATGATATGAACTCTGTTTGTCCTGTTTTTATGTTCGATTTCACGCATAACGCGTGATTCTCGCAGTGAAACTAAAATAACATGCTCACTAAAAGACATGTTTTACAGTAACGGTTACAGTAGCTGTGACTTGAGGGCGCTGCCCTATTTCTGTCAGTAATGTGATTGTTAGTTGATGCTTGAGGGCGCTGCGCCATTGTATCCATGTTATATTGCAGAAATGGGAATTTTAGCATGAAGTTATTTGCATGGAAAATGGAGCAGTTTTGCTCAGTTCAGTTTAAAAAATGAGAAAAAATGTTCAGGGGAGTCTCAACAACTATCCCAAAGTACCGTTTTTTCAGAGTTTTTGGCCTTTGTTTTCTACGGGGTGGTTGCCAGGTGGTGAAAATGCCCGGATGTTCGCTCCCGAGAATTGGAGACAAATCAGTTTCATATCACACATGCACAGTACATGTGTGCTTTGATTGAAAATAAACAAAGAATATGAAGTCAGTCATTCTTGTATTTCACAGACACTGGTTGAGTTTAATGCTGATATTACTGCCACTAATAAGAAGGGACACACGGCGTGTAAAGTTGCAGCCAATCACCACCATGATACAAGTGCACAGTTCTTAATAGTAGTAGAGTCGTGTATTACACTTGCAGAACAAGTTACTGGATTTAGGAAAGAACTCCGAGAGTAAGTACACGATTTGTTTATTTATCTCAAGAATAGTATTACAATTCGATCTTTCCTTCCTTCTTCTTTCCTCTCTCCCTCCCTC